TCCTCCAGACCAGAAGCAACTGCCTCAACTACTTCACAAGTTGCTGCTACTTCACAGGTTGTTACTCCAATTACTCACCAAGAAACTAAAGTAACAACACAATCTCCAAAGAAATCTGGTCTTTTTGGATTCAATTTCTCTAGTCTCAAGAAGAAGAAAAGTAGATAAAAAGCATAAGTTTTGTTAGGCTGTTCTTTTTAACTTAAGTTTTTGAGAAGTTTTAAAAATTTCTTTGTGGTTCTCTGTTTTCTTGACTTAGGTTTGTATATGACTATATGATGTTGATTACCAATCCAAACCATTATTGCAAGTGTAATTGTAATTTAATAGGAAAGTATTGTGAGCAAAATAACTTCCATTTGTAAATCATTAACTAATAACAAAAAATGGTCAATTCTTTTCAGAAAAATTTCAGAAAGAGAGAGAATTATATTTTGAAGATATCATAATATACTACAATGTACAACAAGGAATTGTTATAACCACAATATTCATATCTCTCTATATTTGTATGAAGATAGTAGTAGATTGAAAGATCTTTGGATTGGTTTCCACTGTCTTTCTGGTTCAAATTTCAGATAACATAAAGAAATGGATAAGAAGACAAAAAAAACATGATTTTTTTTTCTATTATCCTTATCCCTAAATCCTTTACTTGAGGCTGAAGAAATTGGAAGCAGAATCTGTTCTCAAGCTATTGTAAAGACATTGTGAGTGAGTTTCCCAGCTTGAAGATGACTGATCTTTCTGCATAAAAGAACAAAACAAATAGGTTACTTCACAGACAAGTAAGAAGAATTTAGGTATAATGAAAGATTTGACTGAGGTAAAGATTATTACAGCGCCAAGAGATGTGTTTTGGTTTGAGTTTATGACTGAGTAATCTAGAGATCCTTGTTGATGTAATGGAAAAGACCGTAAATCCGGCATTACTGATTGCTTCGAATCGATTTCTGGAAGATTTGTGAAGTAAGCCTGAAACTATATTTCAGTTTAAACCACTCAATGAAATGCGAAAACTTTGGATAATTCTTGTGATGAAAGCTGACTATATATATATATACTCAAAAAGTTGTTTTCACCTGTTTCGCGGATAATTCATCGATATGAAACTCAAGTTCTGGATTTATGACAGAGAGTTTCATCGACAAGAACTCGACTTGTTGTTGCAAAGATTGAACATAGTTGATGATTTCATCGAGCATACCGGCTTTTCCAGTAACTTTGTTGCATCCAGGAACAATATCTTGAAGACATTTCATCTTCTTGCTTATCTTTTCTCTTCTTGCCTATTCCACAAAACAACATCATTTTAGATAAAACCCTAGAAAGTAATTTCTCTGACAAATCAATCTCACTTTTTTAGTTTAATTACCCTTTCTGCTAAGCTATGTCTATCGGTAGCTTCGCCTCGTCGAGCTCTTACATGGATGTAATCTGGTTTCTCAATCCCTGAAGATGTATCTATGTTGCTACTGTTTGATTTTCCTTTCATGCTTGACTCTGT